CTTTTTCTCTAACTAAATGATGCCACTATACCGAGCATTAATTAGCAACTGATAAAATAATGACCTATGTACAATAAAATACAGTTGAATCTTCAGATATTGGCACATCGAGTAAGGTTAGTGTACTATCCTACACCCATATCAATAAGCAGCATTTTGACTTCCTCTGCTCTGAATATATAAGAGTCAAGTAGCAGGCATACTATATGGGAAATACTTTTTTTGGGTTTTCTACACAAACCAAGGTGAAATTTCGTCTATGATTGAGGGTTTTTTCATAAAATACCTGATATGATACATCAGGTTTTATGCATGAATTGTAATACTACCTCATTAAAATACTCAGATTTCAAAATATTCATTCAAACATTTACGTATTACTCTATCGAATAAACTCTACCTATCAGGTTTTTTTTACACTAACATACAGAATAACTTGTTCAGTTGCATTTAGTTACTCACATTCACATTCATGTGATTTATTTCTTTTTTTGGCTGAGTAGGCTGTGCATAAGATATTTGAAACCTTATTGATTGATTCCTATCTCCAGTTTCGATGTCCACATATCATTATCATCTGTCATGCATCTAGTCTTTCGTTCGGTGTAGATTGAATTCTATCAGCCACTATGCTAGGTGGCTCGACATCACAGTGCACTATAAATTGTTGTAAGGTGGTTGGAAGCTATAGGCAGGAAGCTTTGGATCTAGGCTTCGGTGATTGTTGGCAGTCGTCAGCAAGGCGTATCCGCTATGTTGAAGGAACTCTCATGTCCCTTCTGAGATTAGAACCCAGGTTATCCAGTGTTGCAGTTAAGGACGTTACCACTGACCCAGTTTTTTTATTCCTTCACGTTCCAAGTGGAACATAGGGCTTCAAGCCAGAGGCTTGAAGTTTCTGTAGCAGTGTTTATTTTTATAGGATGGGGTTACTAGCCTCGTGACCAACCTTTCCTCTTTACCAGCATTATTTCTGGCTTAGCGAGGTAAAGGAGTTCGTCGGCCGGGGATCGAACCCCGAACCATGTGCATGGTCGGCGAGCGTCCCAACCGCTATGCCACCAACGCACTATTTATTGTTAGGCTCGGTCTATTTCAATTGCTGTTGCAGATGACGATACCAGGATTCGAACCATGGGGCAGTTAAAGTAGTCAACAAATTACGTAATTAAGTAAGTAAGTAGGTAATGTTAAATATATCCCCACTTGTACTCTAAAAACTAACTTATATCGCTTCAAAGTACAGTGTTGCTCAAAGCAGTCGGATGATAATTGATTAAGTGAGAGTAAGATTCCATCGAATCGAAGAAAGGAAATAAGAGAATGTAATTCATTATAACATCTGAAATCAATAAACACTAGGAGCAAAAAGGACGTTATACTTTCATAAAGTCTAAAATATACAACTGATTGAAAAGGGCTTCAAACAATTTCGTAACAGGATTTCATCATGAGCTGACATTGGTTAGAGAACCATTGGAAAACCTGCGGGGAGTACTCAACAGCTGTTTTGTCCTAGTTTGGGACTCTTCATCAATACGCGCCCTTGTAACCAGAAGGTCCTGGGGTTCGAACCCCGGTGGGTGCGTATTCATGAAGAGTCCCAAACTAGGACGAAACAGCTGTTCAGTACTCCTCACAGGTTTTCCAATGGTTCTCTAACCAATGTCAGCTCATGATGAAATCCTGTAACTAATCAACCAAATACCTACAAACCAATACTTGAATTTCGTAACAGACTGAGAAGTTTGTGACACTGTCACCACAAAAAAGTATCAGTAGAAAAGCCAAGTGACATGAGTTAAACGTGAACCAAAAATTACGGAAAGTATGGCATAGATTAAACACTTATATAAAGTAAGAAACAGTGCTTCGACATGCATTTGTCTATCAACCTAATTTGATAAGTGGCAACGGAACAATTCAGAAAATGAATAGCGAAATTTCATCACAGGATTTTTATAATACACTATGCTTATGACACAGTATGTATTAGTTAACCAACTAGATATCCTGCTGTTATTGATTCAGGTTTGCAATTAATAGTGTTCTCTGAGCTGGTTGGTTTGGTTGCGGAGCTTTCATCGTCCTTCTGGACAACATCTTCAGCGCAATATTTAGCATAAAATGGAATGATTTAAATTCTCCATGAATGAATTGCGTCTCCTGGTAACCGTCTTTGCATATGTATTGACCATTTTCTATTGACTTGGAATGGAAACTTTCTCGTCACATGATTTACTTTTTATTAGTTGGTATATTTCGTCGATATTAACGTGTTTGTTAATTGCATTTTCGTTTGAGTACCAGGCTTCTAGGAACTCCCTTGCACTTTTGGTGTTTCCTCTGTCTAAAATTTCGACATTATCCCAATCAAATTGATGACCATAATTGTCTATATGCATTGATACTAAAGAATACATATCGTGTCTTTTCACAGCTGATTTGTGTTCTTGGATTCTGATTCGAAGGGGGCGCCCACTTTGGCCGATATAATGCTTATTGCAGTTCATACAATTTATTTTGTAAATGGTATTAATTTTATCTCCTTCTTCTGTTGGATCTTTCGGTTTGCATAATATCGAATTAGGCGATTTGACTGGCTTGTGCGCTATATCTATATCAAATGGTTTCAGTATTCTAGCTGTTATTTCAGAGGTATTTCTCATGTATGGTAGAATGAATTTTTTTGTGGTCTTTGATGGTGGTTCTTTGTTGAACCCTGATAGTTTTTAGAATCACTCTGCTATATGCTGATCAAAATGAGTAAATCAGTGGGATTCAGCATACTCAACTAGTGACAAATGTTACTATTTTGTACCCAGAACCTCACTTGTAAATATCTGAGCAATTCCAATATGCTCGCTAGACTTATATATTATTATAACTTAAATATTTCCATCTCAAGTCACCTGAAAAATATCACAAAATATATTCTGCATCTCAGCAACATTGAATATACATAAAGTATACATGAAGAAATTTAAATCATTTCACTTTATGCTAAATATTGCGCTGAAAGGGGATGTTGTCCAGAAGGACGACTAAAGCTCCGCAACTAAACCAACCAGCTCAGAGAACACTATTAATTGCAAATCATCCACCTGAGCTACAAATTTTCTCTATTATTAATTCAGGTTACCTGAAATAGCAGCTTTTTATTATTATTGTGTATGCCTATTGTTTTAATCACCAGGGCAGGTTTCCAACAAGGGAATTCTCGGCTACGCACCAGAGTTCGTGCGCTTATTGAATTTACTTCAAATGTTATCAAGATTAACCTAAGAATTTACATATATATGTATATATATATCACTTATGAACTGTTTGTATTTCTATGCAGTCAGGAATGAGCCACAACTCCACTAAGAACTCCGTCAAGGAAGCCCATTATCCCCATTTCTATTCAACTTCATAGATGTACTAATGGACTTAACCCTATCTCACTTCAGAGACTCAAGGATTGACTTGCTACCAGGGAATAATCTCGTTGACTTGGAATATGCAAATGATATAGTCCTCTCTCCTAAGTGAAGACGCTGACAAAATGCAGAGTCTTCTGAACACCTTGAGCTGCAATCTACGAATGTTTGGCATGCGATTCGCTCCCGCCAAATGTAAGATGATGTTACAGGACTTGACTGCATTGACACCCAGCTTGGAAATAGGGAGTGAAGTCGTAGAGCATGTTGACCACTTCATTTAATTGGGAAGTACCATCAACCAGTGCCAACGGGTTGATCTCTGACGAAATCTCAGCACGAATACAGAGGACTAGTTTCGCGTATGCCAATTTACGCCATCTATGGCTTAGTAGTCGTGATTTCCGGCCGACTGTCGACCAAAGGGCGGGTGTACTGCTTGGTAATCTGCTCCGTCCTCCTTTATGGCTGACTGTGAGACCTGGCCATTCACAGTGGAAGACATGAAAAACCTGCTAGCTGTCTTTGATCATAGGTGCCTGTGTTCTGTCTCCCACATGAAGTGGTATAGTCGACTGGGCAATATAGAGGTTAGGCGTCAAGCACCAGGTAAGGAGGGGAAATCAATCGACGAGGCTGTGAAGTTACATCGACTGAGATGGTTAGGACAAGTGTTAGGTATGCCTAGCCATCGATCGCCTTCCTCGACGTGCAATGTTAGCTGATAATACGGTCAGTCTGGAAAAGAGCTAGCGGCGGTCAAACCAAAACATGACACCAGTCAATGAAATCTACAACAGTTAGTCTAGGCCAAGTAGGATGGTGTAAACTTCCTGGTTGGGGTCCTAGAGACGGTAAAAACCAATGGTTGGAAACAATTGGTGACATGGCTCAAAATCGTTCTCAATGGCTAGCGCAGATGCATCCACTTTTTGTGACTTATGATTTCAAGTGAAACTGTTTTGTTCTTCGTTATTACTATTCCTTTTGTGTCATATCCCTGTTTATAGTCTCTATTTTGCATTTCTTCTACTTTCTTCTCTTTCTTTGTGTGCTACAAGGAGGGAGTGTGGTGACTTGAACTGCTGCACATATGTGCAAAGTTCTATGTCGGAAACAGACAGACAGACTAAGAACTCACAACACTGTGTCGATGCCAACTTGAACTGCCATTTATACAATACAGATTTACAATTCGCTGGAATGCTCCACTGCTTAGGAACAGTTTACGCCACTTTATTTTCTATAAGTGAGTAAATTCTGTCAAACAGTACTTTGTTGGCTAGCTATCGTAGAGATCACAGTATTTAAACAATTGGAGTGTACACTACCCAACTTTTGCTCTCCATGAATACTATAAAGGGTAGGGGTGGCGATCGAATATACAGAATGGAAACCAATTAACGGCCAAACAGTTGACCAGTCGGAAAACAGAAAATGGGATCCTACTATTCAATTTCAAAATTTCACCAGGAAATCTTTTTTCTCTCACCTTTTATAAAAAAAGACTGTCACAACACATGAGTGCAAAACTAATATTTTCGTACAAAAAAGCAAGCAAAAAGAAAATATTCTTACCAGAAATATAGTAAATATTTCCTATTTAGTGTTCCATATCGTTTTCTTGAGAGATCAGATACATATAACAGAACCTGATAAAAGTTTTACAGAAAAAAACAAAAAAACAACCAACAGTCAACACCAGTCAAGTAATCGATTGCCTAATTAATCAATAATCTATAATTTTATTCGCCTATTTGTTTATTTTAAAAAATTTATAAATACACCGTCGTCAGCTAACCTTACATGACTGCTGTTAAGTGAAACTGTTTTATTGTATACATAGTTAAGAAATTTTGTAATTTTAATGATGAAACCTTAGTCGATTGACCTAAAACAATGGCAAAGACAGAACAACAAAAACCAAAGTTGAATTCAGCCAATCACAGGTTTATAGACCTTCAATGAGATATTAGATGACGGACGACCCTACTTAATTAATACATAACACAAGTATTAAGAATACAGGCCTATGAATAATATATGCATACTGAACTTACAAAGTGACATAATTATTTTTTTCACATTCACTAACAGTTTATTATGAAATGTTGGAGAAAATTTGCAAATCAAGCGGGTATTTTCGAGATTCAGTAGTCTAGTGAATGCAGCTTTAATGTTCGAAACAATGGGTGCTGGTTTCCAAACTTAGTGAGCACATCATCACTCACTGGGACAAAGGTAACGAGTCCCAAATAGAACTACATGCATTAACATAAAACCAAACAATAGGGTGGGAGAGGGTTAAAATTCTAAGAAGTAATTTGTGTAGGTGGAGAGAGATTGATTACTGACTCCTGACTGGTTCATCAAGTCTACACCCAACACAACACATGCAACAGAAATGACTCAATGCAAATACCAGAAATATGGGAGATATTATTACCACCAGTCAGTCAAATCAGAAGAGGATAATAAATAATCTCAAAATTCTATTTCAATTCAAGCACATCACAACATTCTAACAAGTTACTCATTTTGACTATAAAAACATCTTATTTCACATCTGATTGTAATTGATCAATAACACTCATATTATTATTTCTGAATGTACATTCTCCTATATTGATTTTTATTTAAATATCTAATCAATTTCACTCATGTATATAAATGAAGGAAAAAAGTTGTGCGAGTAACAGGATATGATTATGAGCAATTATTTGTGCTCCAAACGTCATCAGTTAATATTACTGTATAACACTGTGTAACTTATCAAAATAAAATCTTATCTATAATAGAGTTATACTCTACCACAGTGCCCGAGTTTTATACTTATATCAATATCAATAGAAATAAATGCGAGTCGTGAATTCAACTATTAGCCACTATCAGCTAAATAACTCCGAGTGAACTTTTATGGTGTTCTTATTTTCATTGCTATTATCAATCTAGAGGTAATAATATGGTCAGAAAAGACAACAGCAGTTTCGTAGTTCAACCGTCCAAATTAGACAACGTAATAACGTCAAAATCAGTTGACTGTCGGTCTTACAATGGCTCAGTTTATTAACACATACCTAATCGGTTAAGATGGTGTGGCTATAAGTTCACCTTTAGGCCCGTTACTTGAAGATATTTTCACCGCAAGTTTGGAAAATGTTCCACTGAAACCGACTATCGATAACTTTTCTCTGTACAAAAGGTACGTCGATGACACTTTCATCATCTGTGATGACAAATATGGCCTAAATAACGTACTTCAAGTTAAATAACGTACAAATTTACAAATGAAGTAGAAACTGAACAGAAAATCTCATATCTGGACTTCAGACTAACAAAGAACTTTGAACATATTAGTATACCCAAAGCCTACGTGGAACAGCCATTTTACAAACGTCTACAATTGGGTACCCATCAATCGCAAGCGGAACCTGATAACATCTCTTGCGACTAGAATCCGCAGAATATGCAGCCTCGAATCAGTAGAAGAAGAGATCACTCTTTTGAGGAAGACACTACTTGAGAATGGCTATCCACCACACTTTATAGATAAACATATAAAGCTCAAAATCAACAAACAGCAACCCATCTCTTTGCCGAAGAAGATGCTATACATGAATGTGGCGTTCAAAGGCGATCTTCTGGCCGACATCCTAAAGAGCAGAATATCTAATGCCCGGAAAAGAACATTATCTGCTGCTACATCACCATTAGTATCCTCATGCCACCAACTGTTTTTCAACAACTCCAAAGATTAACTATCGCATCTGACTACTTCTGTGTGTATCAACCAATTTATTTGCTCATGTGGAGCGAGATATATAGGTCGTTCGATGTGTGTTTTATCTAAATGAGTCAAAGAACTTTTTCGCGCTTGGCTACGAAAAGGTTACAGTGGATCAATAGAGAGTGCTATAATTGAACATATATTCAACACTGGTCACTCCATATGCATGGAGAATTCATTCAAAATCATCTACGTAGTCAAAAGAAGCCTCCCGAAAACTGTAAGCTTCCGTATATTTTCCATTGCCGAGGCATTAGTGATCCAGATGGAAAACCCTGATTTATGTACACAGAAGAAACTTTTCCATCCCCTCCTTCTACCTTGGGTATACATTCAAGTTTGACTGCTTTGTTACTGATACTATTTTCGAATTTCAGTATGACATCTTGGCAACATCTTTTTTAACTGACCCTTTATTTACTCTTTCTACCTATTGCGTCATTTGTTTTGGACACTTGTCTCCATGCTCTTTCATTGAAATTCTCTTTTTCTGGGTGTCTTTCAAATTACGTAAGCCACGTCAATAACTAATAATCTTCAACCCCCCCCCCTGCAGTTTTTCTTTCCTTCACGTTCCTCAGTGGAACATAGGGCTTCAAGCTACTGGCTTGAAGTTTCTGTAGCAGTGTTTATTTTTAAAGGATAGGGTTGCTAGCCTCCTGCCCAACCTTTCCTCTTTACCAGCGTTATTTCTGCCTTAGCGAGGTAAAGGAGTTCGTCGGCCGGGGATCGAACCCCGAACCATGTGCATGGTCAGAGAGCGTCCGTCCTAACCGCTATACCCCTTCCCAGTTGCAATTTGATTATTCATCACACTTTTTGTAACACTGTGATGAAGTACACAACAAACCTAAATAGTTTTTTATTCTTGCCTGACAAACCCAATGTACACAGACATACAAAAAAATAATTATATATAATTGTGATTGTACAGCTAAGTGAATGTAAATAAATGTAAATAGCCACTTTTAATGACTAAAAGTCAATGAAGTAGGTGAAGAACGAATGAAACCAATTACCAAGCCAAGCCTAAGCAATACTTTCAGAAAATGTAACTATTGGCTCAGTTTCGGAAAAATCAATACATTTTCAAGTATTGATTTTGTAGGGATTTTGTTTGATTGCATGGAGGATTTCATCATGAGCTGACATCAGTTAGAGAACCATTGGAAAACCTGGGAGTACTGGACACCTGTTTCATCCTATTTTAGGACTCTTCATCAGTACACACCCACCGGGTTTCGAATCTAGGACCTTCTGGTTACTGGTGGGTTTTCCAGTGGTTCTCTAACTGATGTCAGCTCATGATGAAATCCTCCATGCAATCAAATCAACAGATCCCTTAGTTTCTCTTCCTGCTTGTTTGATGTTGTATTCAACAGATTACACATGTACTTGCGAGTACTCCATACATTATTACTATTGGATATTTAAAACAATGGTGAGTGACTCATTTTTAGTCCGAGTAAGCAATTCAAGAAATAACTGTTACTGTTCAGATGGTAATAATTAGACCATCAACCTCACAAAACACAACAACTCCAAAAGAAAATATTCACTTGGGCTACAAATCTCTATTTTAAGAAAAAACATAATCAAGTTGAATCTGTAACGAACCACTTGTACAAAATCAATAAACTCACATTCATTTTGTACATGGGAACAAGTTCTGAATTCATATCAATCGGTTCTTCAGTCAGACTAGTGCTTGCGGTATCATTTAAATTTCTTTGCTGTTTATCATTATTACCTCCACGAGTATTATTATTATTATTACTAACGTTGTTAGTATCATTATTATTATTATTACAAGAGATTACAGCAATTGGTTGCTGTGATATAGTCGGATTTTCCTGACCAACCATTTTAGAATATCCTAAATTCGATGACATTGTTTTCCTGCTAGAATTTCTAGTGCATGTTTGCTGTTTCTTTTGCCTTCTTAATCCCACTTCATTACTCCCACTAGGATCATCATTTTCATCTTCATCAGTTGAACTGAACCAACCATGAAAACCTTGTGTTTCAACTGCTGGAGTTTGATGAGGTGAAGAATTACGACAGTAAATATTTGATTCCACTGAATTAGTTAACGCGATACTCTGATAATCTTGTGGTAAACTTAATATCTGATGATGTATACCAGTATGCGATGGTCTAAATATACTAATACTGTTAGATGAATTTTGTGGAATAGTAGAATCAGCTGGACGTGTAGGTTTTTTATTCCTTGTACTTTTAGCTGCCTTCTTCAAATCTTCTAGTGAAACTTTCGATTGAGCATCGTATAGAACTTGATTTTCATATGAAGCTGTGAATTAGAAGGGGGAAAAAAGGACAGAAAAAAGGAAACAGATGTTCAGTTAACCTTGAATAAAGACAACAACAACAACAAATAAAACAGAATATACCTCGAAAAGATGCAAATAAACATGCTGGACACTAAAAAAAAAACATGCATAACGATAATGAAAGACGGTTAAAAAGAAGAAAGAAAGAAAGAAAAAGAAATATAGAATCAACATAATACTCAGGGCATAAGTAGTAAAAGAAATCAGCAGAGGGGCAACAAGGAAAAGGCAACCAATGATGACTGTTGTAGCAGAGGGGAGATAATACATATAACTGACGACGATTACAACAACAACAACAAAAAAAGCAAGCAGAAATAAATATACTTGTATATTTATTTATATACTATGAAGAAGGAGGTAGTGATGAATTTCCTGAGGGTGCGGAAAGGATTCACACTCAGTTTACCTGAATCAACAACGGGAATGGATTGAATTTGTAGACTATGACTATTAAGATTATTTTGTATAATATTATCTGAATTCAGTGTACTGCCATAATCAAATCTACGTCTTCTCTTCACCAAATTAGCTGATATTCTTGGATTAATTGTACTTGACGAGACTGTTGAACAAGTTGCTATAGCTGGTGATGAAGATATTGTTGTTGTGTTCAGAGGAGCAATATCAGAATTCGGTGAATCGATGGAATGAACAGTTGGACAGGTTGAACCACATTCAAAATTTATGATCTCCTCTAAGAGGATATAAAGAATAAGAATCGTGGGAATATGCAGGAGAATAAAATTATAAAATAAACAGAAAGTAATAGTAGAGAATAAATATCTTTCTTAAATGAAGACATTAAGCATACCATAAAAACTGAAGTGTATATGAGTAAACGGCTTCCACTGCTTTCTCAATCTCTGATATTTCACTAATCTATACAACAGAGTGTGAAATAAGTATGGTGTCAACAATTTAGAATGCACTAAATAAACCCATTGCAATTTGAAGAATTAAGCTCATTCATCCCTATAAAAGTAATCACTGTTAATTTTCAAGTATTAATTTGCAGGGATATGATTAGTTTCAAGTTTGATAGCGGATTGCTATCAGTTAAGGAACCAATGGAAACCAGGGAGAACTGGAGAGTTCCTTCATCCTTGTCTCAGACTCTTCAGAAGTATGTACCTATGAACTAACCGGGAACGGAACTAATGACCTACAAGCTATGAGGCGAGCTCGTTCACCATTCAGTCACTGCAATGAAACGGATTCCAAGCTGATTTTTAGTCCAACGCCAATCAATGTCCTTGACGAGTATTTATTCTCATACTTGTCCTGGTGGACCCTAGTGGTCACGAATGGACAGACGTTACAATTCATGGGTCACTGGCCTCCAAAGCCTCAGGATGGTCGGGGGTGAGTGCCTTGCGCTGCGGGTTGGCCATCCCTCCGCACACCTCTTGAAATGCTCCCATATGACCGGGCGTCTTACATAGCCTTTCCTCAGGAAGTCCTACTCACTGCCTTCACGTGGCGGAGGTTTTTTCACCAAAGTGAGAGGGCGAAAGCGGATGCCCGGCGCTCTTCACCGGCTCGACTGTCCATTGGATGACAGTCTAGGGGAGATGGCTAAACCCTGATTCCAAACCTCCAACGACTGGCGTATGAAGCTCACTGGAGCTCACCAGCAGACGTATGGACAAAGGGCTTGTTGGATGTCCTGGACGTCTGGCCCCATTCAAAAAGGCGTATGAACCGAACTCCGGTCACCGGCTGCCAATGGACAGTGGACTCCCTACTCCACTCGTACTGCCTTGTAGGTCACACTTGGTTGTGTAAAGGCTAGAGCTGTACTCTCAAACAAAAGGCCGAGCGATTCTGGGGACATCACCCGTACCAAATTCCCATGAAACTTCACGAACTCTCTTACAAACGACTCTCACTGTAGACCATTGGTGCCTCAGGTACATTCTGCATGTTCGTTGGCAGGACAAACTCTCCAACGAAGAAGTGCGTCGTCGTTGCTACAACATCAACCAAATTCCAGTACTGGTCCAACAACGTCGCCTTCGGTGGTTTGGCCATGTTCTGCGCCGACCAGATGACGATCTGGTCAAATCAGTTCTAAATCCCTCGCCATTACCATCTTGGCGATGCCGCAGGGGTGGACAGCTGAAAACATGGCTTGGTACAGTCAAGGCTGATATGGAGTGCCTGGGGCTACAAACCGTCTACGGACTCCGTCTGTGGAACAAGAATTGGATAACCCTGTCGCAAAACCTTGCATCAGATCGCCGCACCTTGGCAGCGATGATTCGAGATGTTCATGAAGCCGGCTCATCCTCCCGTAGGAGATAGCCGAAGTAAAGTAAAGTAAGTATGGGTCACTAGACTCTCGCCCAGTGGCTGAGTGATCAACAGGCTCATCTCATAACCTGAAGGTTGTGGATTTGATCCTTAATGGGGTCATGGGTTTGTACCACTGAAAAGTTGCAAACTAAGAAGAAACAGCTATCCAGTACTCCCCAATTTTCAATGGTTCTGTAACTGATTTCAGCCTCTAATAAAACTTGAAGTCGTGTAGTTGTGTTCTCTGAGCTGGATGGTTTATTTGCAAAGCTTTCGATTGGTAAGCGATAAGAAGGAAATCTCACACACAAAGGGTCAAAATTTAGGTCAAGGAAACAATCAATACCAATACAAATAGCCTAGACGGTGTGGAAACACACAAAAACAACCAGCCATGTTTAAGGTCACCAGGAGAAATGACTAATAAACTCGTGGAGAAATCTAAAAGCTCACTTGAACAAATTGAAATATGCGCTGAAGATGTTGCCTAGTAGGGCAATGAAAGCTTCGCTCAGAGAACACAACTGCATGAAAATCATCCACCTGAGCTACAAATCTTCCCCCATCATATCTAAACTTGAAGTTAATCAGAGTTAACTCAACATCGATTTCAAACGAGAAATGACGACTATTACTTATGATACGATATTCTAATTCGTTATTTACAGCAAAAAAGAATTATTAAAAGTAATTGTACTGTAAGCAAGTGAATAGAATCATAAAGGGGATGTACCTACACTCAAAACATGCACTTTAGTACGATGTCGTTGTTACATTATAGGAGGTTAAAGTTCATCAAAACCTATGCTCATGTATTACAAGGTGCCTTACTAAGTACGAATTAACATAAGTCATTCTGATTACTTTTATCCATAACGAGAATTTGTAGACAATGTGCTCATAAAATATCACAATCCAGAAACCTTCGACACTTACTCTCTAAATTACAAATAATAGGTATATGATAAAAGTTGATTCACAAGTATAATTGACTAAATGTACGCGGAAAATTTCCAAGCCTTTACAACCTACAAGCTCACTCACTCATGGACAAGCTCTGTAGGTTAAAGGACCCTGTCGGTTGACCCAATTAGACAAAATAATATAATTTACAATGCAATGCCTGTGAGTGAGGTTAACTACATAGGTCAAACTAGTAGATCGAGGGTAGTCAGATTGCCAGAACATAAAAATTTAGGCTTAGGTTAGAATGATTGACCCCGAGAAGATAAGTAATTTAGAAAAAAGCTCAGCAATTGCACTGCATGCATTTACACACAACTACACAATAAGGTGGGACAGAGTTAAAATTCTAAAGGATAATATAGGTAGGTGTAGAGAGAGGTTGATTATTACACGCAACACGTGCAATAGAAATGACTCATCCATCATACCAGAAATATGGATAACATTACTACCAATCAAACCAAGAGATGAGGAATAGTGGAATCATATAAACGAATTTAATTGAATTTGAGATTTTCCCGTCGATTGATTGGACCGAAGTGCTCGGTCTCAGGTTGACATGTCGGCTTCTTGTGCAGATGCTTCGACGATGCCTGGGCATTTAATTAGAATTTAATTTGTGGATGGTGGCTAGCAGGAGAATCCAGGATGCGCATTTCATCCTGCAGGTACATCCAGTTGACGAGTCCCAAATAAGACGAAATGCGCATCCTGGATTCCACTGCTTGTCACCATCCACAAATTAAATTCTAATATAAACGAAGTTGGAAATTTTCATGAGTACGTTGATACGATTATAAGCAATAAATTGTGTTCGAAACTTGATCATCAGTAAATATTACTGTATAAACACTGTGTAACTTTATCAAAATAGTTTTTATCCATTATGAATGCCTTTTTCATTTGACACATAATCAACACAAAGAAACCAGACATCTTATGAATTTCATTTGACCATACAATATCTGAGAGTACTGAAAACAAGACAAGATAACCGTCACATGTGATGCAGACTGATGAAAATTTTTGAAAAAGTAGTAAAAGTAGTTATACTGATATTGACTGAAATTGATAAGTAGAACAACTGAAACACTGGTGAACACAGAGATAGACAGATATGTATATAGAGAGAGACAGTGGATAAAATACCGAAACATATCGTTCGAATTGATCCGAGAACTTAAATGAAACCAGACGTTTCAGAATGATACATAAATCTATACAATACTCAGATTCTTAACCTAACAACAGGTGTATATGATTTCTGATGTTAAAACTATCCATGATAGATGAAATAAAATAAAACAGACAAAGGAATGAAAACCTGATTTCATAGGAACTAATAGAAAACCTTGTAGAGCTACGTGTGTCAATCTCTACTCAAATTCACGTAGCCGTGTAAGGGCTTATGGGGAATTGTCATCTGAATTGATAACAACCAGTGGTTTCCGTCAAGGATGTCCACTTTCCCCGTTTCTGTTTAACTTCATCATAGATATGCTAATGGAAGTATCCTTAACTGAACTTAACGACTTAGGAATCAACTTGTTACCAGGGAATAGTCTTATGAACTTAGAATACGCAGATGACATTTTCCTGTTAGGGGAGGATTCTGACAAAATGCAGAGTCTTCTGAACACCTTGAGCAGCAATCTTCGTATGTTTGGCATGCGATTCACCCCTGTAAAATGTAAGATGCTGCTACAGGACTGGACTACGTCAACTCCTAGTTTAGTGATAGGGAGTGAATTGATAGAACATGTTGACCACTTCACCTATTTGGGAAGTTGTATCAGCACCAACGGATTGATTGGTGACGAAATCTCAGCACGGATCCAAAAAGCTCAAGCTGCTTTCGCTAACTTATACCATCTCTCGCGTAGGCGTGACATCCGGCTATCATGGTCAGGGTTGACAGAGTGGCAGAAGTCGATCAGGTGTGTGCGAAGCTCTATTCTGGAACACCTGATCGACTTCTACCACTCTGTCAACCCTGACCATGATTTCAAGATAATATATAGAATCCATGCTAACTTCCCGCGTTTTCTTCGTTACAGACTTCTAAAGACAGCTGAGGCCTTGGCAATTCATGACTTTAAGCCAGACCTTTGTGTACAAAAGATGTATATACAATCCCTACTTCTGCCTTGGCCGTAGATGGATAGACTTTTATTTATTTTGTTTATTTAGTTATTCCATGTCCTTTTCTCTTATTACTATTCTCACTCAATGTTTTCCACTTGACCCAATTGTCATTCTAAACACAAAATTATTTAATTTTTATAATATTGGATCCTATCTTATCAAATTTCACACCATGTTATGTAACATTTTTATATTCGTCTACTAGTCCTGTAATTATGTACCCCTTTCCAACATCTATACACCTTATGTATTATTCTATATATGACATTAATTATTTTGCCGCTTCACATTAAACTATGATTATAATCACAAATATTTTAATTGCATTCGATCTAATTCCCTCACCGGATTCATGATTTAACACTACCCTCAATCAAGGCCTTCAATAAGCATCCACTCCACCTTGACATGGTGAACTACACTAATCACAGCTTCTCACTAGAACTTTAGACACCTTCGTCCTGCAGTCAGTCACCCAGTGTGGATGAAATTAATTTTCAAAAGTTAGTCTGCATTGGATTTGAATGGTCTCAAGTTATGATCACAAATTGTTATCAGCTAGATAAAGAGATACAATTTATTTAAACAAATAAAAATAAAGTATTTGTGATCATTGTTATTAGCGTGATGGTGCGCTGTATACATAAAAGATAGCAACAACAACAGAAAAAAAACCAGTAAGTAATATTAAGTGGTAGATTATAACTAGACAAAGCATAGAACATTCATACATACCGTTGTAAAATTGCTTTCGTCTTTCTCTAAAAAATAAAAACAGAAATAACAATTAGATTATTGGAAAGACAGATATGAATTGTTTTAGGGTCAGTTAGGTCAGTGTACATTGTTAATTTTTGAATACAGAGGTCAAACAGGCAGAATGACATTGATGAATTGTGATACTTAAAAAAATAGGTTATCTAAACAAACAAAATATACGATTTCTTCTTTTAACAGTATTATTATTAATGGAAATAATAATAATAATAGTGTCCTTAGTCCATACAACATAAAATTAATGAATATTTCAAACAGTGACATAAATGGTCCACTTTTCTAAGCACTAACACGATCACACTCACTGAGACTAAACAAAACATCACTGAGTTGACGTCTTCATTTTGGAGTTTAATTCTGTTAAGTGACAAGTAGCTTAACCTACTGAACTAAAAGGTATATTCAAACGAAAGTGATATTTATCATTATGGATGCCTTTTAGAAAGCCATTAGATTGTGAACTGCTTATACATGCAGTTTAGTAAAGCTTGGAACACATTCTGTTAAACATGGACTGTCCACAGGCACCAACAACTTAGGAAGTCATCGGAAAACTTTGAAGTGATTCTATTCGAACCCTCCTAACTTACCATTCATTTAACTTCTAATGTTTTATCACGATTCTATTAGAGTTTACTAGACAATTTTTCAATATTCAAGAATTGATCTGTAAGGATTAGGTTTGCTTTTCGAGTTTGACCGCGCATTGATATCAGTGTTAGAGAACCATTGAAAACCAGGTAGTACTGGACAGCTGTTTCACCCTATAGTTTGGGAATCATCGGCAGTACGCACCCACCGCCAGGGTTCGAACCCAGGACCTTCCAGTTACAAGGCAAACTCGTATACCATTCAGCCATTGAGACCCGATTCAATAGCCAGTCCATAAATTCTAACTTCTACCAATTCGTGATTTTAGCGCAACCACTAAACAATGTCATCTCTGAGAAATCCATCCTCACACTTGACTGGATGGACTTGACTGGTCCCGGCTTCTCAGTAGAACTTCAGGAGACCCCGCCCTCTAGCAAGTCACTAGTGAGCATCAGATTAGTTTTCAAGAGTTGATCTGTAAGGATTAGGTAGCCTGTTTAAACGTGACTGTTATTTTAACTAATGTACCTTTAATTAACAGTTAAATGTAGTACTGCATCTCAGTGTTTCTAATTTCATGTAAACATTCAGTATTGATAAACTAGTTATTTGCTATTCTAATACCCTTCAAACAAAAACTTGAACAAATAAAGTGTTTCAATCGGGAAGAAAAATCGAAAGATAAACATAAAATTAGTGTCATAAAACAAGTAACAGAAACTTACGCTCTTTGATATAAGAAAATAAGAATAACCGCGACTATGTAGAAAAGTAAATAAACACCCACAGCTCCAAGTATCGGCAGTAAATAAGGCCATTCTTCAATTCCAATGGAAAACAAAAAAAATATTCAAAAGAGAGAAAAAAAGGAAAAAGTTACGATACATAAATAAAATTTACATATTAGTTTATATACTACACATCTGAGGGAATAGATTAATTAAACTGAATACTTCATGAGAAAACTTGTACCACTAGGTGTATGACAACAATAAGTAGATGATTTATTCTCTACTAAGATGCCTAAGTGTATTAAGAGCAGATACTTTTAATTGATTGGAGGATTTCATCATGAGCTGACATCTGTTAGAGAACAATAGGAGAACCTGCAGGGAGTACTGGACAGCTGTTTCGTCCTAATTTGGGACTCTTCATCGGTGTACAGTCCAGGGTTCGAACACCGGTGAGTGAGTACTGCCGAAGATTCACAAAATAGGATGAAACAGCTGTCCAGTACTCCCTGCAGGTTTTCCAATGGTTCTCTAACCGATATCAACTCATGATGAAATCCTCCGGTCAATCAAACAAAATCCCTACAAACCAATACTTGAAAACAGATATTTTTAGCTCAACGATATGGTTTGGTGGGCTTATGGGAACCTGATCACTCGCCTACCTGTTACAACAACGCGGACTTAATACATCACATATACAGTGGTCAGGGAAATGAAGAGAAAATACTTGTTGCGTTCTAAACGGGTTAAGGTATATAATGAATAAACATTAGAATTTTATTATACTGATATAAACACTGGCCACAGGTAGCATGTGTTATTGTTATTATTCCCTTGAGTTCCAAGTGGAACATAAGGCTTCAGCGGCACATTTCCATTACACACTGTTCTTTGAAGTCTTTTTTAACTGGCTCTACTATTTCCCATAGGTTGTCATATTCACCTCACATTATCTCTTCCATGTCACCAACCAATACTCAGCAACTCGTTTCCCACCCGGGTTCCATTTAAGGGACTGTCTACCGTGTGATGTCATTCGATAAAATCCTCAGAGCATTTCCATTTCCTTCTGCATATGTGTCAGATAACAGGTTCTTGATTGGCTCATTTCCAGAGTTCCTTGTTAATGATGTCTTCTGGATATCTGATCTTCAGTATCGAGTGAAAGCATCCACCGATGATGTTGGAAATGCCTTCTGTGACGCTCCAAGTATCTGAACCACATAGAGGTACTTATCTGACATTAGTATTGAAGATCCGAATCTCGTTGTTTATGCTGAGTGCAGAAGATTTCCACAATAATCTCAGAACAAAGATGGTGTGTCTTGCTTTTCCGATCCTGTTTTTCATATCTCCATTTGTGTGTTCTGTTGTTGAAACGATGCCACCTAGATAAGTTAAGGAAGTGACCTCTCTCGTAGATAGTGATTGGTGCATTTTTTTGTTGGTGGTTCGGTACCTTCATCACCTCCGTCTTCTTAAAGTTCTGTCTTCGCTGTTTTTTCTGCTAACTTGTTGATTTTTACCTGTAGATCCTTGAGTTTGTGTGATACTAGACAAGTCATCCAAAAAGTTCAGATGCTCCAGTGTCTTCTCGTCAGTGAAGTTTTAAATAGTTTTATCTACACATATAATTGATGAACTCCACAAATAAGTGCATGAATGTACAATAACAAAGTATTAAGTATGAGATATGTTGCGCAGGACATGTTAGATGAATGAACTGTAGGCTGCAACTAAAAAGTAATGCATGTAAGATTTTCGGTCCCGTAACTCATATATCTATGTGGGTGATACACTGACAGCACATATAGCCTTAGCATAAATTAACCTGACCGATAGCTGCTACCTTGATGTAGTGGTTGGGATTGCATATCACAATGATCCAACAAGCTAGACTGGCTGGAACTATTGTTCTTGCAGGTCCTACCATGCCAGGAAGATTGTTAGGATAGTGATTAGACTAAAAGCAGTTACCGGCATAGTGTAAGATTTTTTTTACAGTATGCTAGGCGTCTGTGAGCAAAGTGGTACTGTTGGGGAACAGGGAAGTAACAGCAGTAAGGTATTTCCCTAAGATGACTTGCATGTCAGCCATCTACGCTATCTCTCCACTCTGAACAGAGGGGATTAGAAAAGGATGACCCCAAAAATTGTACATCCCGACATACCTTACGGACGTCCGTAGGCAGCGGTAAGTTAATAATACGGAACCAAACCTAAAAGCAAGTTCAAACAGGCCGTGTGCGACCGGCCTCACGCAGTTGTCCCCTAGGCTCTGCAGTCACGCAACACTAATTCTTTCTGTTTTAGGTACCTCAAGAATAAGT